ATGGAGCACAGACAGAATGGCCTAGTGCTTTTACCATCTGTTACTAACAGTTGCACATTCACCAGGTATTCAGAGGTTAAACATTCCAACCTCTTTTCCCTCATGGGTGGCCTTAACTAACAACTAATAAGAGGTGATCAGATTCTCCTTCTCCCTGGATCTTGGCAGGACTGATTAACAGACTGACAGACTGGGTCACTCCTAGGTCTTACTTATGTGAAGACCAGACACAACTGTGTCCTTTTCCCCTCTTTGGATCTGATGAGAGCCATTAGCCCTCTGGTTGTGGTCTTGCAAGGGGACTCCAAGAAGATCTAAAGGGTGCACCTTCCCATTGAGAAGCCTGGAGAGGTCCTTACTTTGACTGCCAGGCCCCAGCTGGTGACCTAAGTGGTCATCACAGTCTTCCCAGATGGTGAACAAAGAAATGTTACAGCAAGTAGATCAAATACAGGGAGAAAAGGCACTGTGGAGGTTAAGGAAGCAGTTTATTACACAGGTGGGCTTCTTGACTAGGATCTCTCCTAAAAAGTCAGGACCCTGCCCAGCAGGGCTTCAGAGCTTTTAAGGCAAAAGTAAGCAAAGAGGTACAAAGGCAGATTTGGTGTATATGATTGGAGGTTTGGGTGTCATCATGTGTTGTTAGGAGAGTCTAAAACTTTCAGGTTATCTCATAAGACTATCAGTTATACAAAGCATGGGTTATATAAAGGAAGAAATGTCCTAAGTTACATTGTAAGGCCACTGGTTACACAAGGGCAGCCAAAGACAGGGGTTTACATAAGGAAGAAGTGTTCTGTTATCAGGCCTGCCGGACATGTCTGCTTGGTCTTGTCAGGAAACCTGGGAAGGCTTTTATTTAAACTTTTGATTTTTCCCTTTTCAGGATGAACCTAGAGATGAGGCAGTTCTCCCTTCTGGCTGACCCCAAACTTTGGAGGTTGCCAAGAGTACCCGATTGGTTCTTACTTTTTGAGCCACTGTCCAGCACTGGCCACCAGGGTCACTGTGCAGTTCTCTGAACCCAGGTGACATAAAGTAAATGAGTGCCTCATGGAGTTTGGTCTTGGGAACTGATTTTCAGAAAGTGTAAATGACCAGAAAGTGGCCCATCTGCCCATGATCCCGTGTCTGCTTCAGGAGTCACACCTGGAAATCCAGTACTACCTTCAAACACTCCAGAAATCAGTATTCACAATTCCAATCCTATCTGCCTCAGACTTTGATCCATTCACTTAGTTCTTACTGAGCACCTATGTGTTAGAAACTGGTGAAGCTCAAGGAATATAAAGAGAAGTCCCTATCCCTACTATGCCTGAAGCTTAGGGAGCTGATCCAAGGGAGCAAATAGGAAACCACAAACCTATAGACATCAGATGCAGGTTGTCACAAAAAAAAAGGGAAGGCAGTATATCTCAAGATAAATGACCTTAGTATTTTTGGTCTTAGCACTGTGCACTGAATTTAGAAACTTCAAACTGAACTATATCCTCAGTCTTTTTTTTTTATTTTGAAACCATTTCTCACTAAGTCTCTAAATTGCCCAAGGTGGACTCAAACTTTCAGTCTTTCTGCCTCAGCCTCCCAGAATGCTAGAATTATAGTATGTGCCACCACACTCAGCTTGAATTTTTCCTTCTTTTTTTCTTTTCTTTTCTTTTTTCTTTTTTTTTTTTTTTTGGTACTGGGGATCGAACTTATGACCTCACAGTTGCCAGGCAGACACTTATACCACTGAGCTAAATCCCTGGCACTTTTATTTATTTTTTGATACCTAATTTTCTTATGTTCTAAATTGGCTTCAAATTTGCTATGTAGCCCAGACTGGCCTTGAACTCAAAATTCTCCTGCCTCCGTCCTGTGAGAGCTGGGTACAGGTATGCACCACTATGCCTGGCTCTAAACTAGGTATTAAAAAATGAAGACAGCAGGATGTGGTGGCTTAGAGGCTGAGGCAAGAGAATCATCACAAGTTGTAGGCCAACCTGAGCTACACAGTAAGTTCAAGACCACCCTGAACTACAAAGCAAGATCTTGTCTCAAAAATAGAAAAAATACATAAAATATGAAGCATGTTTGGAGCATGAGAGAGATACAATCCAGTTGTGTAAAATAAATCATAACCCATTCCAATGAGAGAACACATGGCTGTGGGAATAAAACTGAAAGAGGTAGATATATTCCACTGTGTAATGATCTCTTAGGTCCAGAGGTGGCAGGTGACATGAACAGGTATGTTACCTGGAAATGTGACAGGAACAACAGCAGCTGTTCTTGCAGAATCTGGCAGGTCTGGGGGAGCAGACACATCATGTTGTATACATTTCTACCATGCACAGAACCTACAATGGGAAGAATAGGGGGTGGCTGCCTCACAGGGACAAGGTTTCTTTCTGAGGTGGTGAAAATGTTGGAGAACTTGTAGAAGAAGAGGTTGCCCAACTGTGTGAATATAGGGTCATTTCAAAATAATTAGCTAGGGCAGGGTGTGAAACTTGCCTAGCATGCACAAGGCCTTGGACCCCCACAGTCTTTTCTCACAAGTTTCACATGAATTAAAAAGATAATCAAATCAGTTTAATGCAGGATGGGGAGATGTGGCCTGGACACTTGCCAAAGGCCAGGCCCTGAGAGAGGCCAGAATAAAGGCAGCAGGAGGGGAAGGGGTGAAGCTCCAGAAGACACTAGCCACAAACTCAGCAGGCCTCTCAAATGTTTTGGATACAGCTCTGTACTCTGCCTCTTTGGCCAGGGCATTTTCTATTCCTGTTCAGTAACAGATCTTGCCTAATCCTGGTCTGTGTCAATTCCTTAACATCAACTGAAAGATGGTCCCAAGCAGTCTCACAGTAAGAGGACGTAAAAGGAAGATATGATTGTAGTAGGAGAGAATGCTGGGGATCAAGGAACCTACTTGAGAATTCCCTACCATCAAAGCATAAGCAGCAACACTTAGCCCAAAAGGGCCAAAGTTTACTTTGCAGTTTTGGGCACTTCTGCCTTCAGAGATTGACAGTCTCCAGTAGGAGACAGTGTTGTCTTATTACAAAGCCTCACAGTACATCCCAGTTGTTATGAAACCTCATGTAACATGGAGGACAAACTTTTTGGAGGTGTTTGAATCTAGAGTTTGTGATTGGCTCATTGTTTACTGCTGGAATTAGTGGCGCATGCTATACCTGCCCTAGGGCAGGTAGCCTGCATATATAAGGGACAAAAACAGGCTTGCTCTGCCTTTTCGCTCTTGTTGCTTTTGCTGTCTTGCACGACTACCCAGCATGGGTAGCATGGTCTTCTGCCATGCTACCCAGCCTTGAAGCCAGCTGATTATGGACTGTTTGAAACTTCTACAACCTGTAAGCTAAATAAACCTTTCTTTCCTTAACCTTGGTTTTTGGGCATTTTGTTTCAGCAACAAGAGAAAAGTAACTAAGATACAAGCTTTAGTGGGGGACTTAGAAAAGTCTCCCAGGAAAGGACATGAGAAATTATCAACAACATGTGCAAAGGCCCAGAAGCAGAGGCTGTTTATCAGAACTGTTTGAAGAAAAAAAAAAAAAAACTGGCACCAGATTTTGGAGGCTGTGCCAAGCAATGTTGTGGGCCAACTCTGGCAGGGTGAGCAGACTAGGACATCTCAAGCTGTGCCAGACATGCCCAGTACCTGAGACCAGCAAAAAAGCCCTGGAAGGTGGGAGGTAGTGAAGGAAGAGTGTAAGATCTTGTCTATTTTTGGGGCTAGTCTGGGAAGGAAGGAGTAGGCAATATAGTCATGGAAAGAAACTGAGTTCCTACAGCAAAGTCCCCATAGCAGCTACAGGAAGGGAAAGTGAGGAAACTATCCTTAGCAGCTTCACTGCAAGTGGACAGGACTAGCAGTACAGGATTCTAACAACAACAACAAAAAAATCAGGGCATTAGTATTGTCTTATGTAAACTTTCAAATAAAATATTCTTTTTGGTTGAGAAATGTAAGTTTGCTTTTTGACAATGGATTCTAGTGCCCCCCACCCCATTCTTGGGATTATAAGTGTATACCACTGTACAGTATTTGGCTACTGACACTGAATTTTGGATGACACCTGAAAGAGGTCCAGATAATTTGCTTCTTGCCTTCTATTCTTGTTTTGTTTTGCTTTGTTTTGTGACAGGGTCTATGTAGTTCAGGCTGGCTTCAAACTGATGGCAATCCTCCTGTGTCAGTTTCCCAAGCCTTAGGTTCCTTCCAAGCCAGTAGTGCACAACTCTACTACACCTGGCTTTATTTTCCTTTTTGCAATGTTGGGTATTAAACCTAACGCCTTGGGCATGCTAGATAAGCTCCCTATCATTAAGATAATCCTCAACTCTTCTTTGAGATCTTCCTGCTGTACGATCTCAAGTAATTGGGATTACAGTTGTACACCACAATTCTAGGCTCCCAGGCAATTTTTTCTTTTCTTTGACTTTTTGAGGCAGGGTCCTTGCTAGGCTGACCTTGAACACCCTCTGTAACTCACATTGGCCTTGAACTCTTGTCAGGTTATTCTTCATGAGATAAGATTCTTGAAGGTGGTCTCTCTCCATTCTTTATTGAACACATATAGATAACAGACCTTGAGAACCAAAAAACCCCCCAAAACTCAGGAAAACACGTGGTTTTTGATGGTAATAAATGCAGCAATGGACACACTTGTCTCTGGAGAAAAACACTGCACTGTCAACTACTGTCAGTTGGTGCCATATTTTCTTTATTTTTTTGAGGCAGGGTCTCCCCTGTAGTCCACTTGGCCTTGAACTCATGGCAATCCTCCTGCCTCCACCTCCTGATTGCTAATATTACAGGCATGCACCACTGGCTATAGTGTCATCTTTTTATTTCCATTTGAAGGGAACACCTGATTATTAGTTTAGTGCCTTCATCTCCTAGACACATACTATTGTTCAGGGAGACAAGGCACTTGGGTTTCCCATCCCACTAAACTTTCCCATTGCAATACTACACAATTATGTTGTTCCACTGGTTTTCACAAACTTTATTTACAACTCAAACAGCACTAAATCACTTATTTTCACATTTACAAAGTTGGGCTTTGCTAGAAATCCACACAATGGTTCACTGAGCATTAGTATATCTTATTACATTCATTCAGATGTTCCAGTGGTAATCCAGTGGCCAGTTTCATAGCCAACAACCATTCTTCACAAGAACTAAAAGGTAAACTTATACACAAAACTTCTTCCTCTTCCATTTTTAGGCCATGAGCTTCTGACCATGTCTCCGTTGACAATCAACTCCCTTTGGTATGACACAGGGGCAGAAATGTCCCAGTCTCTTCACATATTAAGGAAATGGGGTCAGGAGAGAGATAGTTTGCATCCCCATCATCTGTCATCCATAGCATTGCTGGAAGAGCTTGGACTTGCAGGCCCCCTCAGAGGAAAGCTGCAGCTTTAGCCCATGAAACTAAGTGGTCAGTTGACACACTGTTGATCCAGTTGGTCCAGCAGTTTGCAGATAAGATTTTTTCCTGCTGGTGTTTCTGTCAGGTCACTGACAGATATGCCTAAGTATCCACCAATTGTTTCCTTAGTCTCACAAACAGTGTCGACAAATTTCATGCAATCTGATAAAATAACATGCTGCTAATATGTGAGTTCATCTGTAGCAATGCATCACATGATGCTGCACATAACTTTAGGAGCACAATGGAATACTGATAAAATGGAGATCATAAACAACTCCTTACCCCACATTATTTTTTAAGATCCACACACTTTTCTGCCTAATGTAACTTGGGCATACAAACAAGACATTTGGCCTGGGGAAGAGAACCACTTGGAATTCACATTGAGACTCTTCTGCAAACTGAAAGTCGCTTCAAAACAAAAAGGTATAGGAACTAAATTAACAAATATAAAATACTTTTTGGTTTGTTTGAGAAAGAATATCATCATTAGTTCAGGTCAGCCTTGAACTTACTATGTAGCACAGGTTGGCCTTGAACTTGCAGTGAACCTCCTGCCTCAACCTCCAGAGTCCTGGGATTACAGGTATCTGCCACCATGCTTGGCAAATATAAAATACTTAAAGAGACTGTAATGGCTTTACGGCTTTAGAAAATGGGTAAGAGAAATCTGAATACATTCTGAAGTCCAGAATGTTATAAAACAAATTATACTGAAGAACACAAAAAATTAAATGATGTAGCTTACAAAAATAGAAGAAACTGCCAGATATGATAGTACATGCCTATAATCCTTACACTGGGAGGCTGGGTTACATAGCAAGTTCAAGGCCAAAAACCAAAACCAAAAAACCTGAAATATTAATTTCAGTTCAATAAAACTGAAATTTACGATATAAAAATGATTTACTCATAATATATTTCAGTACTAGCAACTAAACCTAAGCAGCAACAATACATAATCCCAGCCCATTTTATTTTTTATTTAGAGTAGGGGGATCTCACTTAGTTGCCTGAGTTGGTCTCAAACTTGTGATCCTCCTGCCTTTAGCCTCCCAAGTAGCTGAGTTGTTTGTTTTGTTTTTGACACAAGGTCTCCCTATATAGTTCAGGCTGGCCTGAAACTCCCAGTGAGTTCTAGGCTACCCTGAACTACGTAGTGAGACCCTGTCTCAACTTGCTGTGTTCTAGGCTGGCCTCAAACTCCCAGAGATCCTCCTCCTTGGCCTTCGAAATGGTGGGACTACAGGTGTGTGTCACTACACCCAGCCAAGTTTTTTTTTTGCCAAGGATCAAACTCATGACCTTGCGCTTGCTAGGCAGGCACTTTTGTCACTGAGCTAAATCCCCAGCCCCTTCAAGCTAGCTTTGAACTCACTACATAGCCAACCTGGCTGCAAACTCGTGATTCTTTTGCCTCAGCCTCCAGAGTGCAAAGATAACAGGTATGTACCATCATGCTCAACTTATACATTTTTAAAATACTGATTTTGGCCAGACAGTGGCACACCTCCGTAGTCTTAGCACTTGGAAGTTCACAGCCAGCCTGAACTATATAGTGAGTTCTAGGCCACCCTGAACTACATAGTGAGACCCTGTCTCAAAAAAAAATCAAACAAACAAAAAGAAATAAAATACGGATTTTTTGAAAGCCCTGAGACATATGGTTGGTGCAAAAAATGTATTTAATAAACTAGTTTAAATCAGGTTCAATATTTTAAAGTAAATGTTCATACATTTCTTTAAAAATGATAATTCAGGACTGGGGATTTAGCTCAGCAGCGTAAGTGCCTGCCTGGCAAGTGTGAGGTCATGAGTTCAATCCCTGGTACCACACACACACACACACACACACACACACACACAAAAGATAATTCATTGTTCATCAAATTTTGGGATTTCCTTAACATCGAAAGCTAATAAACACAGGCATGAGGTAGGAGGATCACAAGTTGAAGACTAGTCTGGGTTAAACACTGAGACACTATCTCCAAACCAAAAAAACAAAAGCAAACAAAAAATAAAGCTGGAGTGTTGGCACATGCCTGTAATCCCAGAATTCAGGAGGATGAGGCAGGAGGATTGCCATGAATTTGAGACCAGCTGGGGCTACATAGTGAGTTTAAGGCCAGCCTGAACTACATGTGAAGCTCTGTCTCAAAAAAAAAGAAAAGAAAATAGAAAAAAAGTAAATAAATTATATTTGGGAATACTTAGTATCAAAGAAAAACAGTAATAATAAGAAAACAGATAATTTTTAAAATAAAAGATAATCACATACCTTCTGGTAGGAAAGCCAGAGAAAAAAGATATTAAATCTAAAGAAACTAAATATTTTACATGCACACACTTTGCTTAAGATGAAGACATCACAAAAAGATGGCAACTAGTCTTCTTGCTCAATCAATGGGGAGGGTAAAGGTTGAATACAGTCCCTTGGGGAAGCCACAGATCCTATTGAACTCACTTGCCAGGAACCATTCCCACCCCCACCCCAGTCAGGAAGTTTGCAGAGCCTTACAAACAATGTTCAGGATTAACTTTATCTGAAGGACTACATTTTTCAAAAGGCTTTCATGTCCCAGTGACAATGCATGGACAAACATCAAGGGAAGCCCTAGGGCCCCTCTGGCTGAAAAAGACCAGACTTACAACCCTAAATTGATCCAATGAGACCACGTTTAATGAACACTAAAGTTGGCATTACAGGCCTAGGCAGTGGGAGCTCAGAGGAAGGCTGGTGACATTGCTCTGTGGGGGTAACCCCCTCCCTGCACTTCTCAAGAAGACCTCATGCAGGCCCCATGTCCATGTGGAGAGCAAGACTGGAATACAGGGCTCTTTCGCAAGTGAGAAAAGTGAGCCCAGAGCAGGTTTACCAGTTTGCCTAATGCCAAACAGGATTCTTATCCTGCCGGCCAATACTTCCTAACCCTATTCAGAAATAATGTGAGAAGGGCAGGGAAAGATGACACTCCCTTCAGAAGACCAAGCATAGATGTGGAAATGAATATGGAATCATCCATGGGGACACTAAGAAGTGCCAGCTGAGACATGAGAATGGGCACCTGTCATTATGAACTAGATCTCTAAGGCCCCCAGCATGGCCACTGGGATCATGTTTATCTCCTCTTCCCTTTGTGGCACCTATATCCTCAAGACCAGCTGAGGACAGATGGGGAGGTATTATGGTAAGTCTCCCTCACCACCTATGGCCATCAGGCTAGCGCAAAGTATAGGCAACACAAGTTGCCTATACTTTGGCATAGTAGGCTTAAGCGTCTACAGGAGAAGTGAAAGTACACAGAAAACCATGACAGGTACCAGTCATAGTACCACACATAAAAGGGATAGAGGGAGGACATACATCCAGGTAGACTAGCCCAAGAGGTGCTGTGAGGACAAGACCAGGGAGGCACAGAGCCTAGAAGAGAAGAGGGTGTGGAACTGAGACAAGCATGCCATGCTGAGGGATTTGGATGTGTGACTCTGAACCAGGTTGCTACAGTAACAAAAGGTAAGGAGTGGCTATAGAGACTGCAATGCACTCAAGTGGCCACCAGGCTAGAAAGGAGGGCTGAGAAGCTCCCATGAATCCAGGACTCTCTGGACAGGTGCCTGGATATGTAGTTGGCTTCTCTAGGGTTGGTCAAAGAGGGTCCCTCTCAGGTCGCTTCTTCAGATGTGGACTTGCAGTGAGGCCCAGAAAGCTTCAGATTCTGCAGAAACACAAGGACATATGATATCCCCTCCAGCCCCCATCCCACAGGCCTCTCTGTTGTCCTTGGAGTAACCAGGAACCCCAGAGTTCAGCACAGATCTTGCCTTTCCCTTGCCCACGGGCAGCAGCAAATGTGGCCTAGGGGGGCCTTAGAGTAAAGCTGATGCTGGAGAAGGAAGCTCTGGGGAGGAAGGACTGGTCAGAGGCTGAGGAGACACTCCTAATGCAGGGACCTTACCAGAGATCAAAGGCAGGAGTGTCATTCTCCTCAGACCTGTCAGGTGAGAGCAGGCCGTTGGGAGGGGAGTAATGTCTTCTTAGCACCAGCAGGTGGCATCATGGATCCACACTTGACAGGAGGTTCCTTCACCTTTTCACCCCTACCACAGAGGCTGAAGCTCTTTCAAGGAGACTGGAAATGTATCCCCTGCCCCCAACCTCATGGCACTGGTCATAAGACACCTCCACAGAAAGCCATGGCCCTAGGTGGGGAGGAGAATGCCTCCTACACAAGTACTAGAAGGGGCTAGGTGTGCACAGTGACCCCTTGAGCTCTATCCTAAGAAGCAGGTAGGTTCAGGAGGCCCAAATCCAAGGCAGGGGTCTAAGCTCAACCAAGTAAGGCGGGGTGGCCCTGCTGCATGCATGCCCATGTGGGGTTTTCCTGCTTCCCAGGAGGCAGCTTGGCCTTAGTCCCACCACCCCATAACAACAGCTCAGTCACCATTAGTGCAGGCCCATCACTGGGGGTCAGGATCTTGGAAGCCCCAGGCCTCCACCGCAGCAATAAGGAAGTTCTCAGAGCAGAGGGGTTGGTTGTTGAAAGTGTCACAGTGTCCCGTGCGGCCCCGGTTCAGGTCCCCATCGATGTAGAGTGCCTGGCCGCCCCCTCCTCCTGCAGGATTGTTTAGGTCAGGGGCCATTCCTCTGTCAAACAGCAACCCTCCCTTGCCACACACACACACACACACACACACACACATACACACACACACATACCCATTGGTAGGTACTGCCCTCATGGTGTCTCTGACATGAGCAATCTCAGCAGCTTTGGGTATCTTTTGTTTTTTTTTTCTTCTTTTTTGGTCTTTTTTGAGACAAGCTTTCTCTATGCAGTTCAGGCTGGCCTTGAACTCACTTTGTAGCCCAGGTTGGCCTAGAACTCACAGTAATTCTCCTGCCTCTGCCTCCTGAGTACTGGGATTGTAGGTGTTCGCCACCATGACCAGCTTCTTAGCAGATCTTGCCCTATAATAGCCTTACTAAATAAACCACAGCCCCAGGCCTGGTTATGCGGCCAACTCTATTTTCCAGCCTGTTTCTCTCTTTTATCCCTGGCCCACCCAGAACCACCCAGGGTCTCTTTATCTGCTATCACAGAGGCCCAAGTGAGACACCGATCCCAGGGGAGGCAAATGCTTCAGCCACTCACAATCCCCTGCACCCTTCTCCTTGTGCTGTTGGGGCCCAGGATATTTGAAGGGTGAGGGTGCCCACCAATAATGAGGCAGTCATTGCCCCCAGCCATGAACATGGACTCAGTCTTGGAAGGCAGGTTGAAGTGCCGAGCAGCCAGGAATGGTGAAAGGCGGTCAGCAGGGTCTGAGGGGACTGAGTGGCTAAGTGGAGAGGGAGTGCTGGTCTCTGAGGACATGAAGGAGGTCGGCTTGGTCAGCTCCGGGTGCTTGATGACCACCCACTCGTAACGCTGCACCTCGGGCTGCAGCTGAAGGTGAATGAGCAGTGTAAGTTACTGGCACGCAACTCAGTAAGTAACTGAGGCCCTGCTGGGCCTCAGATTGTCCCCTAAATCACACTCAAATATCTGCTATGGACAAAGCCCTGAGCCAGGAATACAGAAAATCATGCTACATAAGCTGAAGTCTATCCATCAAAGCAAGAAGTGAATGAGATTATCCTTACAGGGTAACTACATAACGAAAATAAAACAGAGCCATGTGAGCCAGAGTACCCAAGGCAAAGGGCCTGCTGACTCCCAAGCTCCCTTGGGAGCATCAGGAACAGTCGAGGCAGAGAGCACCCTGGCCAAAACTTGAGGAGGGGCCATGCCCAGCACCACTCACCCTGAACACAAAGCATTCTCCAGTCCCAAAGAAGCTCAATTTGCCGCCAAATTTATTTCTCTCACTCCAGTCCGTTGATAGGTAAGCTCCACACACCTGGGAGAAGACTGGGATGAAGCTACACCTTCTCCCCCCAGGAATATTTCCTTGTTCAGGTCTTCTGAGGAGCCTGAGTCAAGCTGGGGATATTGTGTGTCACAGCCTGTACCACCACCATGTGCAAGAGGGTGTGGGAGAGGGTTGGCTTTGGGGAGGTGCACTCCTTTCACCCCATAAATTAAGGCTGGGCATGGAGGTGAATGCCTCTGGATATTTTCATCTCCCTTTGTGGCTCTCAAACACAGAAGCAAGCTCTACCTGTGGGTCACACCCACACTCAGATTTTAGTATCAGCACAAAGGGGTGCAGACTTCATCAAGACTCTTGAGGCCAGACCCCAGGACTCCCTCTAGTCCCTCCTCACCTCCTTTTGTGTGGTCTTGATGAGTAAGAGGGTCGGCTCATGTCCTTCACATTGGAAAAAGAACCTGAGGACAGAGATTACATATGCTATTCTGGATGTTCTAGGCTGGGGATAGACCTAGGTGATCTTCTGCCACCATCTTTTGTCCATGATGGCCTAGGACCTGGCAATATCCTCATCAGGTAGTCTTTTCATCTGGGCCATCCAGGGCTGTGTGTCCTGGTATAGTAAGGGAAAACCCTCACCACAGATGACCCCCAAGGGCAGATCTGAGTGCCAAGGTGCCACAGGGAAGCAAGAACTAGAAGAACAGGTCCTCATTATAGGAAGGCTCAGCATGTTCTTGGGAGCCTGGACACATGGGGAGGCCTGAGGCTGCCAGCGTGGTGGCTGGTGCTTGGCTAGCATTCTTGGTAGGGCTGGATGAAGTGGCTCCAGCTATGCCAAAATGTCTGTATGGCTGAAGACAGAGTCTGGGTGGGAGATGGGCAGCTCTGTCTCCATTACCTCTGCTGTGATCCAAGCCAGAGAAATTGAGAGCTGGATGCCAGGTAACCTGGCTTAGCTGCCATGGGGAACAGTGTGGCCTGGGGAGATTCTTGAAGGAAAACCACATGAAATGACTGATCTAGAGCTACCTGGCCAGAAGTTAGCACAGGTGTAGCCCCACAGAGGGCCAACCAGGCCACGCTTATGAACAACATGCAAGGTGAGGAGTATCCCTGTACCTAGTAGCTGAGCTCTGTAGTTCCTCCATAACGATTCTGTGAGCTCCTGAAGTAAAAATTCTACCTTCTATGCCTATGTGGGGCACCAAGCTGTAGTATGTATGACAATTATCTCCAAAATCTGGGTGGCCTGGGAATGACACAAGTGTAGATAAGAGTCTCTTGGCTCTCAGTCCCCACAGGAAGAGCCAGGGGTCTAGGTTCAAAGGCTCATCTCTGGCCACCCCTGTCACTTCCCAAAAGTAGTAGGTAGGATGTGCCTGGAGGGACTGTACAGCCTCTTTGGACCTCACCTGGTTAGGCTGTACCCATGCTGCAATGAGGAGAAGAGCAGGAGGGGCTGGCAGAGGGCGAATCGTTCAGGGACCCAGGACCAAATATCTCTCATCTCCTTCACACTGACGATCTCTGAGTGAAAGTTCTCTGCATGGACGGCTAAGTGCACAAACTGCCTGGGGAGAACAAGAGGAGTCAGAGCCTACAATGATCTTGGTCCTGACCATACCCCCACCTTAGGCTCCAAAGCTTCTCTTTAGAACTAAACTTGGAGTGGACATCTCACCTACTCGGCCAGGTTTATAGCTTGGTTCTAGGTGCAAGACAGGAAGAAACAAGGTGAACCTCTTCTTAGAAGACCCTCCTCCCACCACAAAAAGGGAAGAATATCAAGCCAGGGAGGCAGGTGGGGCAAAAGCACCTTTTCTATAAGAAATAAGAACAGAAGGAGACAGCTCTAGCAAGACAAGGCTACAGGGCCAGCCAAGCACCAGGAGACGACACAACTGAGGCAGTGAGCAGCAGCCAGTCTGTGAAAGCCTACGAAACAGCAAGCAGCCAGTCCAGTGCTGCTGGCAGGAAGGCAGAGAAGCAATGCATGGAGCTATGGTTTCAGACCTACCTTTCAGAAAGTGAGACACTGAAAAACAGGAAGAAGCAACGAACACAGAGAAGAAAAATAAAACAGACAAGGAGAGGTTAGTGGTGGGTACTGAACCCTGGATGTGCTTTCTTTTGGTCCTGGAGAAAGAACTACATGCCAACAGCCACTCCTGATCACAGGATCGCTGCCAAACACTATGATTCTGCCTAGCTAGGGAGGCCATGTCCAGCCACTACAAAAATGACCATCTATGAAGCCCAGAGGGCTGCCCTGACATGAACCCTGGGAGGCCAGCCGGGAACTACTGACCCCCCAAGAATATCTAACTTCTGCTTCAGCTATGAATTTCCATTCTTAAGGACAAACCCCAGCTTGTCTTGCTGTGGTCATAATGAGAAAGGTTTTTCCTACTTTCCAAAGTCTTTTTACCCACATTGGGAACAAGACAGATAACCAACAGTCTGGTAGAATAAGCTCAAATCCCCATGATGCATTCAATCAAAACTCTGCACTCTCCTTCTCAGCCTCAGGACACACACACACACACACACACACACACACACACACCCCCGGCCTTGCCTACCTCTTCTGCTTGACAGTGATGCCCTTCTGCTTCAGTGCTTTCTCATTGGCCATCTGCAGGAGGTGGATCTCCTTGCGGGAAAAGAGGCGAATGGCAAATGCTTTTTCTAGAAGCTTCTCAGGGGACACTGTCTTAGCAATGTCTTTGACAAACATGCGGATGTCCTGCTTCACATTGTCTGATTCAAGGGGCTGCCCAGCTCTTACCTTGTGGAAGAACTTGAGGATGGCCAGAGCTACACGGTATAATACCTTGTAGCCTTCCACAAGGAAGACATCAAAGACACGAGCAAAGTAGTTGAGGGGTAGCTCCCCAAAAAGCCAACGCTGCCAGTCAGAGTAGACTTGCAGCACATCCTCTGACACAGCCACCATCAGCTTGTGGGCTGCCTGGCAGTACTTGTTTACCAAGTCTCCAAATGTCATGCAGGATGACTCAAAGGCTAGGAAGCTCTGGTCAATTAGTTTCTTGCTGGGGTCATTGCAGGCCAGGATGCGGCAGGCTTTCTCAAAGCATTCAGCCTCATCAATACTATAGTGGAGCAGCAGGGCCACCACGGCTGGCAGTGCAGGGCAGAAAGAGATGTCAGGAAACTGGTTGGCAATGCACAGGAGGATCTTGCGCACAGCCCCCTCACCTCGGGCATTCAGGCAGTAGCTAGGCACCTGAGTGTTGTCCACAAACTCAGGCAGAGGCAGACTGCTGCTGCTATGCTTGCCTACAATCTTGCCCACAATGTCACTGTACACACTAGCGTCCGGTGTGACTGTGCGGCAAGGAATGTCCCGAATCAGGCGCTGGTATACTTTTCCCCGCAAGGTGTGGCTCTGAGCCCAGAAGCCCTCTCGAGCCAGCTGTTTCAGCTCCTGAAGCTCAGTCCAGTTCAGCTCCTTTGGTCCCATATCTTGGATGGCAGCATCCATCTTGTCTTTGTCTACAAAGCAATTGTACCCTGGGAAGTCCATGGTGCCTGGTGTGTCCAGCAGGAGGCTTTGGACTGCAAGGTTGGCAGCAGAGTGGCTAAATCCTTCAGCCCCTTCTGATGGGGTTTTCTGCTAATTTGACTGCCATATCATACCCTGTAGGATTAAAAAATCATTTTTCACTTATATATTGGAAGGTGCACATTTTTATTTTATTATATTGTATTTTATTTTACTATATGACAAGGTTTTGTCATATAGTTCAGGCTGGCCTTGAACTCATGGCAATCCTCTTGCCTCACTCTCAAATGCTGGGATTATAGGTATGCACCATCATACCTGGCTTGAAGGTACATATTTTAAAGAACTTTTTTGTTTGTTTGTTTGAATATTTTTATAAAAGTACTAGAAGGTGGCACATCCCTGTAATTCCAACACTCTGGGAGGATGAGATAGCAGGATTGCAAGTTTGAACCAAAATTGGTTAATCTAGCAATTTAGTGAGAACCTGTCTCAAAATAAAAAATAAAAAGTGCTCAGTGTAAAGACCTTGGGTTTAATCCCCACTCCTGAAAAAAATTAAAAACAAAGAAGTATTATAAGAGTTTCCATTTAAGATAGGAGGCTGTTTTAAGAACTTATGAACTTCAGAGAGTAACATTTTTTTTTTTTTTTTGTCTTTTTCATTTTTATCGGTACCGGGGATTGAACTCACGACCATCTGCTTGCAAGGCAGGTGCTTATGCCGCTGAGCTAAACCCCCAGCCCCTGAGAATAACATTTTTATAGAGTTTATGTGTTACTAGCACAGGTCACACAGTTTCTCAGTATTGAGAAGCTAGGGAGAAGGTTCCTAGAAGGGCTTCAATAGCCTGACTCTGCTGCAAACAGTGTTCAACTCAGAGAGGTCCCTCTTGGCCACCTTATAACCCTGGGCCCTTTTGGAAAGGAGCCTAGGATCAAGAGGAGCCACTGACCATGCTCAAGATCCTACCATGTTTAAGCTGAGATTGTGTTTATTTGTTTCTTTGAGTCAAGGTTTTGCCAAGTAGTTCAGACTGGCCTTGAATTCACTATGTAACCCAGGCTCGTCTTGAACTCATGGCAATTCTCCTATTTCAGCCTCCTGAGTGCTGGGACTACAGGTATATGCCACTATAACCAGCCTAAGCTGGGATTCTGAAGCCATTATTTAACTTTCTGAAAGTGCCAACTTGGAAGCTAAGTTCTAGGAAGGTAACTTCAAGTGAGTCACTGAATATAGAGCTAAGAAACAAATGGAAGGTGCAATAGTTTCAAAATTGGACACTTCTACTTAAAAAACAGATACATGAAAGGTTGGGGCAGAAAGATTATAAGATGAAGTCCAGCCTGAACAATTTAGCAAGACCTTGATTCAAAAAATAAAAAATAAAAAAGGGCTAAGGATATAGCCCAATGGTAGAGTGCCCCTGGGTTCAATCTCTGGTACTAAAAAGACATTTCTAGGTCCAAATCCCCTACAAGTGTTAGAGGATTTGGTGTTGGCTTACCATCATAACAGCTGTGTTGACTCAGGTATACACAAAAGAAATAGGTAAGACATGCTACTTGAGACTCAGAAGGGCACTATACCAGCAGTTTGCTGCTTTGGAATCCACAACTTATACCTTCCTTTGCCAAAGGATAGTTGGATATACAAGCTTTTGTGAATATCACCCACATAAATATGTAAATATATGGGAGATAATGTGAATATCACCCACACATATCAGACTAACCTTTCCACCTGTAATGGTACAAGTGCCCAGGTCACAGGGTTAGCTTCAGTGGGTTTTGGTAAGTAAGCATACCATTCCAGTTTCTCTTGCATCTAGAACACTGATCTAAAAATAGAAAAAGCAAAACAATGAGTGAAAAGTAAAGAATTATAATGTAAAATCCAATGTTTTGCAAAAGCACCTTGATGCTGTGCTTTGTTTTGTTCAGTTCTTTTGAGATAGGATCTCACTATACAATACAGGTTGTCCTTGAACTTGTGATCCTCTTGCCTTAGCCTCCTAAGTGTTGGGATTTCAGATATACACTACCATGCCTAGCTGATCCTGGTGTATCGCTGTGTGTGTGTCTAAAATATACTTAAAAGACTTTCAACCATTTTTAAATATCCCATTCAGTGATTATTAAGTACCTTCATATTGTTGTGCAACCACTGCCACTACCATCTCCAGAACTGTGTCATCTTCCTAAACTGAAACTGGTTTCATGAAACATGAACTCCCATCCTCTTCTCAGCACCAGACATTCTACACTATCACCAAAAGTTTGACTGCTCTGGGAACCTTGTATGCATGAACCATACAGTATCTGTCCTTTTGTGACTGATATATTTCACTTATACACTATCCTCAAAGTTCATCCATGTCGTAATATATACATTCCTTTTTTATTTCCAGTACTTGGGTTCAAACCCAGGGGCTTTGCACTAAGCTACATCTTCAGCCTTTTTTATTTATTTGCTGACCAGAATGGGCCTGAACTTGTGATCCTTCTGACAGAGCCTCCTAGAGTTCTGGATTATAGGTATGTGCCACGATGCTCAGCATCTGTTTTGCTTCGTTTTGTTTTGTTGGGGGGAGCTATTGGGGATCAAACCTACAAGTGCTCTACTACTGAGCTCTGTCCCCTATCCCCTTTTTGAGATAAAGGGATAAGCTGCTAAGCTGCCCAAGTGGGACTTGTGATTCTCCTGCCTCAGCCCCCGATGTGCTGCCATAAACATAGTTGTACAAATAGCTGGGCTCCTGCTTCCAATCTTTCATATCTATACCCATTGATATGTTTTTATAGGGCCTCCTCATAGAAAACATTACTTAAAACAATGTTTTCTCACAAAAGCACCAAAATCATGTTACATTTACTATGTCCCCTGTAAAAGCTGTGCCATAGCAGGGCTAAGACTTCTGCAAAGGTCAGGACATTTTCTCTCAGCAAAGTGAAATTTCCTTAAGGAAGTCTGTCTCCAGAGTGCCATTCATCTCCAGAATGGCACAAGTGAAAGTTCCCCCTTCCCTAGCTCTAAAGGGTGCATCAACAGGCCCACTGGCATCCCCATGGCTATGGCCAGGTTACAGTACACAGTCTTCTATTCACCAGTTATCAACAGTTATGTATTCTGAGTTCTTGGCTCATAAACTTCTGGAGCAACTCCAGGCCCATCCTGTCTGGGTGAAAAGAACTGGATCCTTCTCAGCATAATAAGCATGTTTATAAACAGAATGAGAAATGAACAGAGTACTGCCAACCTTCAGTTGACTGGCCCAGATTCAGGTTGAATAGCGGTTACAATTCATAAAGAGTTCCTTCAGAGAAGCAGATAAAAAGCAATGTTTGCTGTAACAAGCGGTCTAGGGACATGCCACATTCAGAGGGACAATGAGGCAAAGAGACTCCTATCCAAAAAGAAGGCAGAATGTATCTGGGGCCCTCAAGTTCAAGTCTTGAACTGACTTCTTCTTTTTTATTTTTGGTCTTTTTCCTTTTTTTTATCGGTACCGGGGATCGAACTCACGACTGCCTGCTTGCAAGGCAGGTGCTTACGCCGCTGAGCTAAATCCCCAGCCCCTTGAACTGACTTCTTCAAGGAATTAAAAATAAACCCAAGGTGGTTCTCTTTTTATATATATATATATTTTTTTTGTTTTGTTTTGTTTTTTGTTGTTGTTTTTATCGGTACCAGGGAATATATATATATATTTTTGAGACAGTGTCTTCTTATACAGTTCAGGCTGGTCTTGCTCTGTGATTTAGGCTGGACCTTGAACTCATTATGCAGGCCCAGGCTGGCCTTGAACTTGTATTGATTCTCCTGCTTTTGCCTCCCTAAGTGCTGAGATGATAAGCATGCTCTTGAGGACAGTTAAAAAACATTTTATTATTCTATGAATTCATAATCACAAAATGTCAAGTAAGACCAAATTACAGAGTAAAGCTCTGTAGAATTCTATTTAAATAACCCCTCTAATGGGCATAGTGGTGCATGCTTATAATTTGAGCATCAGGAGGCTGAGGCAGTATGACTGCTGAGAGGTCCATGCCAGCCTGGACTACATAGTGAGTTCAAGCCCAGCCTAAATCACACAGCAAGGCTCTGTATGAAAAAAAAAAAAAAATCGCCTCTCTAGTGTTTAAAAAAAATTTTTTTTTCTTCCTTTTTGGTACCACAAATCGAACTCAGGGCCACACACCTGCCAGACAGGCACTGCACCACTGAACTACATCCCCAGCCTGCACATCTCTAGTCTTATCCCCCTCCTATGAAAGATAACCATCACAAATACTTTGAAATCTTTTTCATGCACTTACATATACACAATTACAAAGGAGATCTTTTATAGACTCCTTGGTCATTGGTATAGGAAGTAAAAACAGGTAGGGAAATCATCAAAAATACAAAATGAGCCAGGATTGTACATCTACACTTTGGAGGTTTTTTGGCATTGCTGGGGATCAAACTCAGGGTCTCCTACATGCTAAGCAAGTAACATGCACTCTATCACTACACTATACCCCCAGCGCAAGACAGCAAGTCTTTGTAGGCGAAGTGACCTTTTTCTGAGGGCCCACCTAGCTTGCTGCTGTTGCATAAGGTTACACACCCTACCTGCTCCTCTACAGCAGGCAAGGTTTCTCCTGTTTCATCAGCTCCTAACAAAGGTGCCATGCCTGGAGCCTACCCATGTGGCTAGCGGGAAAGAAAGAAAGCAGGAAGCTACCATGGAGAACTGTGAAGTTAGATAGGCCTGGTTTCACAGGCCAGCTTTGCCACTTGTTTGTGTGAACCTCAGACAAGCTATAAATTGTATTCAAACTGTAGTAGCCTTGTCTGTAAAATGCATCTAATAAGTAATACACAACCCTCACAGACTAGTCCACAGGCTACACCTATGGGTTCAGTTCTGACTGTGGGCCTCTTGAGGTGGGTGCAAGTAATACTAAAGTGACAAAATACACACAGTACATCCCATTCTCTGCCCTTTTTTGGGGCCACCCAGAAAAGCAGTACCTTTACCAGCTGTGAGACAGTTCTTTTGGGAAAATACACCCCCTCGACTACAAATATTGCAGTCACCTAAAATCCTTTCTTCCTTCCCCAGCCTCAAATTCAAAGTTGAGGA